CAAGGAACTGAATTTTTAAATTTAGAAACACCGCATTGTTATCAGTGAAATTCAGTGGCGAAAGGAAAGTCTTCTCAACAAATGGTGTTGGAAAAACTGGATCACAATGTGAAACAAAAAACAACCTTGACCCCTGCCTTATACCATAAACTAAAATTAAATTAAGATGGGTCTTAATATTAAATTGAAACTTAAATAGAAAAGGGAAAATGATAAACCTGCTAAAAGAAAACATAAGCCTTTCTCTGTAACTTTGAGGTAGGCAGATTTCTTAGGCCACACACACACAAAAGTAATCTTTTAAAAAAATTGATAAAATGAACTTCAACAAGATTACAAGCTTTTGCCCACCAAAAAAGCAGTGAAAACAAAATAAAAAGGCAAGCCAGGGCTTCCCTGGTGGTGCAGTGGTTGAGGGTCCGCCTGCCAATGCAGGGGAAACGAGTTCGTGCCCCGGTCAGGGCAGATCCCACATGCCGCAGAGCGGCTAGGCCCGTGAGCCATGGCCGCTGAACCTGCGTGTCCGGAGCCTGTGCTCCGCAGCGGGAGAGGCCACAACAGTGAGAGGCCCGCGTACTGCAAAAAAAAAAAAAAAAAAAAAAAAGGCAAGCCAGAGACTAGGAAAAAATATTCGTAATACATACACCCCATAAACATATGAAAAGCTGCTCCATGTCGTTCATCATCAGATGAATGCAAATTTAAGTCACAATGAGAAAACACTGCATACCCATGAAAATGGCAAAACTTAAAAAGATCAACAATACTAAATGTTGGTGATGGGGAGCCATTGGAAACCTCATATATTAATACTATGACTATAAATGGATATATCCACTTTTAAAAACTGTTTGGTAGTTTCTTTGAATGTTAAATGCCCAACAATTTCACTCCTAGGCATTTGCCCAAGGGAAATTAAAACATGTCTACAAAAAGACCTGTGCAAGGATGTTCATAGTAGCTTTATCCATAATAGCCGAAACTGGGAATAATCCAAATGTGCATCAATAGAAGAATGAATCAAATGAATTGTGGTATATTCATACAGTGTGATACTACTTAGAAATAAAAGAGAAACAACCCTTGATACCTGCAATATTGTAAATGAGTATCAAAACTTTTGAACAAAGAAGCCAGATATACAGGAGTACATACTGTATGACCATTGATGTGAAGTTCCAGAACAGTAAAATAAGCTATGGCGAATAAAAATCGTAATAGAGGTTGCCACTGTTGGGGGAGGGGGAGTTGGCAGATTACTGGATTGACTGGAAAGGAGCACAAGGAAACTTTCAGAGGCAGTGGAAATGTTTTCTTGAATGGGCTGGCAGTTACAAGGGTGTATGCAATTGTCAGTTGCATACAAAACTCAGTTAACTCAATTGTAAATGCAATTATCACAAAATGAATACACCCTTGTAACTTCCACTCAGGTCCAGATATAGAACATTACCAGCATCCCAAAAGCTCCACCCCTGCTAACACATGTCTTCCTAATCACTGTTGCCCCCAACACTAGAGTCTATGATTTTAAAAATATTTTCTTTTAAGTTTTAGTTGACTGTAATACTTTGTGATCCTAGGTCCCTTGACTCAATTTCAAATTCAATTTTAAAATATCTCTAAGGTTTCTTTTTTAAATAAAGTTTGTTACTCCTTAATATTCTAAAGATGTTGTGCATATGAGGCAATAAACTTTGGCTTTCCAGATTTTTTACAAGAACCCTGATTTATCTTTGGCTTATATATTCATTCCTAATATTTTTCTACTAAAGTTAAAAATGTCAAGTTTATCTTTGTAGTTTAGGAGACTAAAGGTCTATCTGAATAAAGCAAGATTATGAGTTTAACTGAATCTCACTGTACAAAAATAAAGTGTATAACAACTGAAAGTACTCATTAATTAAATAACAGATGTCCTAGATCCTTGCTACTCCAAGTGGTGTTTGTGGCTCATCAACATCCTCCATCATCACCTGGGAGCTTGCTGGAAATGCAGAATCACAGGCTCCAGACCTACGAAATCAGAATCTGTATTATGGCAAGTTTCCCAAATGATCTGTATAAATACAGAGGTTTGGGAAATACGTTAAGTTAGACTATCTTCATTTTGCCTTGTTTCACACAATGTTTTAATATTTACATTTCCTTGGATAAACGTTTCTCTGTTACATAAAATGCCTGAAAAAAAAATCAGTTTCTGTGTTTCTAACTTTAACCCTGAAACTCCCTATTCAACATTCTTTCAAATTAAAGCAGATTCTCCAGAGACATCAATTATTGGGGGGGCCGGGGTGGTAGTGGTGGAATGCCTACCCCTAGGGAAATCATGAAGCATGATATTGATTCAAATAGGATTAAATTATCTCTCAACTCAGAGAAAGTAAGAGGAAAGACAAAGGAAAGCTTTCTTTAAAGAATGCCAGCTGAACTCTACTCAATACTCTGTAATGGCCTATATGTGAAAAGAATCTAAAAAAAAAGAGTGGATATATGGATATGTATAACTGATTCACTTTGCTGTACACCTGAAACTAACACAACAGTGTGAATCAACTGTACTGCAATAAAAATTGAAAAAAAAAAAAAAAGAATTCCAGCTAAGGGACTTCCCTGGTGGCGCAGTGGTTGAGAATTTGCCTGCCAATGTAGGGGACATGGGTTCGAGCCCTGGCCCAGGAAGATCCCACATGCCGCAGAGCAACTAAGCCCGTGTGCCACAACTACTGAGCCTGCGCTCTAGAGCCCACGAGCCACAACTACTGAGCCCACGTGCCACAACTACTGAAGCCTCAGCAACAAGAGAAGCCACCGCAATGAGAAGCCCACACACTGCAAAGAAGAATAGCCCCTGCTCGCCGCAACTAGAGAAAGCCCACACGCAGCAACAAAGACCCAATGCAGCCAAAAATAAATAAATAAATAAATAAATAATTTTATATTTTAAAAAAAAAGACAGAGACAGAGCCAGAAGCAAGTCTTTTTACAACCTAATATCAAAAATGACAATCCCACCACGTCTATTGTATTCTATTTGTTAGTAAAGAGTCAATAAATCTGGTCCACATTCAAGGGGAGATTATACAAGTGCATGAAATGCCAGGAACAGGGTCACTGGGGTCATTTCAGAAGCTGTCTTGCACAATGAGAAATCAAATGTTTATATGATGCTAAAGTACTACCCCACAGACTACACACTGATTATTAAGGAGAGCATGTACCATTACAATGGAGAGATTTGACAGTTTTCAAACTTAGCATCACTAATAGTGGAACTTCCTGATATGATACAGTATCACAACATCACCTGTGAAGTAGTCTTACCAAATGTGTTTAATCTGAATTTAATTAATCTTTAGACACAATTTTACTTTATAGTACATTAAGGGCAAGCCAGGCAAATTTAGAATGTAGACTATTCTACAAAACAACCTTGTGGGACTCTTCAAAAGGTCAATGTCATATGGAAAAAAACTTGGGGGATTAATCCAAAAACTAAAGAGATACTGGCAAATGTAATGTGTAAGTCTTGGTTGGATCCTGGATTGGACAAAACAAACAAAAACAGCTTAAAAAAAAAGACATTTTGGGGATAACTGAAGAAATTTTGATATGTAATAGCTATTAGATCATATTATATAATAATAATTATTATTATTGATATACAATCGGTGTGATAATGGAGTTATAATTTTGTATGAGAATGTCCTTTTTCCTAGGATGTGATGAAACATTTAGTAGTGTTATAAGATCTGCAACTAACTTTTAAATAGTCCAGCAACCACTGTGTGTGTGTGTGTGTACAGAGAAAGAAAAAAAGCAAATGTGGCAAAATATTAACAATGGTTGAATCTAGATGATAAAATATTCATTGAACTGTTTCTTAAAAATTATTTTTAAAACTTTTCTGTGTGCTTGAAAATTTTCAAAATAAAAATTGGGGAAAAATTTCTCTCATCTTTACCTCCAAATAATTCAATTGGTCTTAAAACTCTATTTTAATTAGCCTTTCCTGGCATACAGTTCCTCTCTGAGGAACTATCTAAAATAACAACCTCTCTCTTTTTCACTCAAGAAACTTCCCGAGAAAAATTACTAAATACAACATGCCACTTTGAATTAGAGTTGGGGACTTATATTTCGGCTCCCTGCTCAGCTGGAAGCTCTGTAAGGTAAGGACTAGGTTTTATATATCACTGCACAAAACCGACCTCAGTGAATTACTCATATTATACCACATCTGTTGATGCTTGTTAAGTCAAAGAACAATGAGAAATAGAAGCCAAGCAGAGAGTCTGCTTTAAATATTGACTTGTAGTTTGTACACTACAGAGTTCATTCAGCTCTCCAAGAGCTCTACCATCTGTATCCTAGAGATGCTCACTGTTAGCAACTCATATTCTTCACAGCTTTTATTTACTTTTTTATTTAAAAGTAGCAGTTTAGGGCTTCCCTGGTGGCGCAGTGGTTGAGAGTCCGCCTGCCGATGCAGGGGACACGGGTTCGTGCCCCGGTCCGGGAAGATCCCACATGCCGCGGAGCGGCTGGGCCCGTGAGCCACGGCCGCTGAGCCTGCGCGTCCGGACCGGAGCCTGTGCTCTGCAACGGGAGAGGCCGCAACAGTGAGAGGCCCGCGTACCGCAAAAAAATAAATAAATAAAATAAATAAAAGTAGCAGTTTAAGTCCTAACTTTAACATGATTAATAGTACTTTGTCTTTAAATAGGAGTTTACAAACAAGTTTATAAATTTATATCACTAAATTTTACCACGGGCAAAGTCCTGAAGTAACAGATGTGAAATGTGTCTAAATTAATTTAAAGATGGTTAAAAAAAGGCATATAAAGAGAACAAGTGATCTGTCCTATATCACATAGTCAATTCTCAATACTTTATTTCTCTTTTCAACAATGCATGCTTTGTTTCTACTTGAAGAGCCGGATTGTACTTTACAGGAAACCTAAAATAAACTTAGATCAAGAAATGTGACTGGATTCATTAAAATATATTTTTGTGAGTACCATGTATTTTTAGCTGCTCTTTATGAACTTTCATAAGGATTTCCCTACCTCGGTCTGCTTCTTGACATAGGTCCATTTCATTTATATAATAATAAATTATAAATCAGTATTTATTTTGCTGATTTAAGGTTTTCATGCAAAAATTCATTAATGGTTTCTTCATCCGCCGATTGAAGCAATCTCTGAATTAGCTGATCCAGGCACTTCTCCCCACATAAAAATTCCTGGTGAAAGAGAGTTACTATGAAAACCTGATTACTAGAAATAAAGGAGAAACAAAACAAAGAATTAAGCATATATTTATTTCATTTCTTTAAAGTCATTATTTAATAGCAACAAAAGATTACTAATCTACAATATAATGAACACAACTGCTAACTTGGGAGGATCCCTAGTTAATTTTGCCTTTTTATGTAAAACGTGAATCCAAAAGAGTAAATGGAATTAAACTCTTACTTAAATTGTTTAAATTAGCATTTTTAAATTAGCCAACCATCCAAATTCAAATTACTTAATCCGTAAGTGGTTTATAATAGTTCTGTTTTTTCTTAAATTAGGAATACAGTTGTTTTAATATCTACAAGTCCTGTGTAATTGAAAAATATTTATACTAAAATATTTCGGGGACAAGTGTCTTGAGGTTTGCAACTTGCTTTCCAATGGTTCAGTAGCAACACAGGTGTATCTATAGAGAGAAAGGGGAAGTGGAGGAGAAAAAGAAGGCAAACATAACAAAATGTTCACAACTGTTGCATCTAGGTATAGGGTATATATATATATATATATATATATGGACTAGTCTTTAAACATGTGTGCTTAACATTTCAAAATAAAAAATTGAGGAAAAAACCTCTCTCATGTTAACCTGCAAATAATTCCATTGCGTGGAAACTGTTTCAGTTAAGACTTCCCTGCAGTCTTCCCTGAGGCTTCTCTCTGAGAAACGAGTAAAATAATGACTTCAAGTACCTTTCTTGTGTTATAAAGGTTCTGTGTAATAGAGTTGTTGGGATTAGTGAATTAGCACAGCCTCCTATTTTGGAAATGCTAAAAATCCAGACATTGGCTTAATAGAAATATTTTAATGTTGGCATCTGGAACATAGAACATTTGAAGTTTAGATGTAGGCATGAACTACTCTTATATTTAGTCTTTCTTGAATGGTGCTGAAGTTAAATTTCAGGTTAAGTGTACACATTTCTCTTTCAAATTAAACTGTAGGGGAAAAGATATGCCTTACTATCTTGGTATTCCACAAAACACCAGCATATAGTAAGATGTCGTTTAAACTTTAAAATTAAACAGAAAGCAAGAGCACTATGATGAAATTTTAAAATTAAGATTTATACCATTTTGAACATAATATGAAAATTGCTTTTAAAATTAGTGTGCCTGTAAGCTCAAATTATTATGATATTGCCAATGTGACTTCATCATCTGGAAGTTATGTTAAAAACTCACATTTAGAGTTCAGTTGGATTAACCAGAGTGCTAGCGATACAAAGATCAAAGATGAAGGAGCTGGGGCTTCCCTGGTGGCGCAGTGGTTAAGAATCCACCTGCCAATGCAGGGGACACAGGTTCTATCCCTGGTCCAGGAAGATCCCACATGTCGCGGAGCAACTAAGCCCGTGCACCACAACTACTGAGTCGGCACTCTAGAGCCCACGAGCCACAACTACTGAGCCTGCATGCTACAACTACTGAAGCCCGCGTGCCTAGGGCCCGTGCTCTGCAACAAGAGAAGCCACTGCAAAGAGAAGCCCGCGCACAGCAATGAAGACCCAATGCAGCCAAAAATTTAAAAAAGTATATGAAGGAGCTGTAGCTCCCAGCTTTCAGAAGCTCACAATCTACTGGGAGACCTAGGTAATACATAAGCATAATACAGTGCAAGAAATTAAAAACTAAAGGAAGAAAAATTTGAATTAGGTCTTAAAAAGAGAATAGTATTTCTCCAAATAGAGACAAACAGAGCATTTCAGTCAAAAGAATGAATATGAAGAAAGGTATGGAAACAAAATACATTGAAAGCCCAGGACAAGGGTAAATTTCCAGTGTAACTGGAATACAGGGCAGGAGATAGGTTGATGCTAAGGAATCTGCACAAGAACTTTGGGAAACAGAATAAAAATACAAAATAATATATTACATGGTAGTCTGTGCTTATTATCTAGATAAATACAAATACAAATAAAATTAGCTACAAGGGAATTCATAATAAGCATACTGAGTGACCTCAGAGAACCCAAGGGCAGGAATGTACAGGGCTGCTGCCACCACCCTGGGAATGAAGCTGGGCCTCAGGAATAAATGAATGTGGGGATTCATTGCATCCAGTTCTCCCATTTTTGCTCCTTTCAATATATCAGCTTCATTCTTCTCTCACTGAAGACTGCTTTCTCCCCATGGCTGGAAATGTGGCTTCTAACCTCTTGTAAGCTTTACGTATTTCAGCTTCATCCACCAAGAGAATGAGCATCTTTGTCTCTAGTTTAAAAATCCTGGGAAGAAACTCATTGACTGGGGCTTGTTTGGATTTCCCCCCCAACAAATCAATTATTGTCTTGGGTCAAAATCATGATCATGTAGGAACATAGCAGTTCTGTCAGGAACTATGTGGACGCAGTAGGGAGAAGGCCAGGTATTACGTTATTAATATGTAATACGTCATTAACATATTACTGTCAGTGATCCCGACGACATGGGATTTAGTCAGGTGAATGTTCAAACTAAACTGACAGAGTAGGGAGAAGGCCAGGTTCTAGAATAAGGGGGGAGAGCTGCGCAGAGTCCCACAGGCTCCCACTTTCTTTCCTCTCCACTCCTTCCATTCTGTCCTGTGGCGGCTGCCCTGGAGTTAAGGCCTTCATCACTTTTCCTGCCTTACCTGCAACTCTTCAGTTCCTAAATTATTCAGTCTGACTAGTCTCTTTCCTGTCCTGCATACAGATTTTAAGGTTTCACGGCAACATTTTTTTATACCATTTTCAAACTTTTTCCCTTCACTAATATGGAGCATTTTCTTTGTTTCCAATAACTTGATTAGTGATTTGTAGAGCATACCAATATGACTGTCCTTACTCTTTCTGAGTCTGGCATGCTAGTTTAGTTAGTAATAACATGTTAGTATTTACGCCAACGTCAGATATTTTATAACTATAAAAGCCAGTTAATCTGCCTCTGTTTCATGACTGAATACTATGCTGAGCTCCTATGTGCTCTTCTGAAAAGTATTACTGGTCATGAGAATGTGGCTGTCTCACGGAAAACCATCACCACTACGAGAAAAACAACTGAAAGACTATGGTGTAATTAGAACAGGATGGCCAAACATGTTTGGTTATTACTGTGTGTTTCCTGAGGAAAGGGAAGCTACTAAATATTTTCTTTTTCAACAAGGCTATAATGTTCTTATGCAAGACAGCTTTAAATTGCTGCAAAGACAGAGGAAGTGGCATAAGATACACAGAAATTTCTAAGTATGTTAAAAACACAGACATTTCCTCTGTAAAACTAGGACTTTAATTTTGTGTACAGAATGAGACAGAATCAAGTGAAAGAAGCCCGAGGTATCACACAGCACCAAGGACAAGGATCAAAACCTTCTACCTTCTGGGCTTCCCTGGTGGCGCAGTGGTTGAGAGTCCGCCTGGCGATGCAGGGGACATGGGTTCTTGCCCCGGTCCGGGAAGAATTTTTCTGTGCTTCATCATTAATGTATTACTGTCAGTGATCCCAATGACATGGGATTTAGTTAGGTCAATGTTCAAACCAAACTGACAGGGTCTTTTCCCCCCAACAGAATCATTTTAACACCTGAATATAATGATACACATTGTGGTAGGCAGAATTCTAAGATGCCCCCTGGTGTACACACCTGGCAAAATTCCCTCCCTTAAGTGCAGGCAGAGCTGTGAATATGATGGACTATCACTCCAGTGATTAGATAGCTAATTAGTTGACTCTGAGTTAATCAAAAGGAATAGTATCCAGGTGGGCCTGACCTAAACAGGTGAGCCCTTAAAAAGGCCATTCCTGCAAGAGGTGCAATGGGAGAGGGCATACGAAGGGGACTAGACAGCACGCAACTGTGGTCAGTCTTTGGGAGCTGAGAGCAGCACCCAGCTGATGACCAGCAAGAAAATGGAGGCTTGACTCCTACAACTCAAGGAAATGGAATACTGCCGACAACCACCTAAGCTTGGAAGAGGACTCCAAGCTCTAGGAAAGCATGCAGCCTGGCCAGCACCTTTCAGCTTTGGGAGACCCAGAGCAGAGAACTCAGCTCTGTCGTGCCTGGCTTTCTGACCTACAGTAACTGTGAGATAATAAATAGGCATTACTTTAAGCCACTAAATTTGCAGTAATTTGGTAATCGGTAATAGAAAACTGATAGACATGTACAGAAAATACATTAATACATTGTGATTACATAACAAAGAATTTGGAATTTAAAAGATAGCTGTTTCATACTGGCATAAAGACCATATTTCTTACTAGCAAACTAATAAAAATGTTTGCAAATTTGGGGTACTAATATAAACTATCTCAATGTTTTTAAATTACGTGGTAATATTTCAGAGATTACTCTCTAGAATTTGACTATACTTTGAAAATCAAAGGCACATAAAGCATACTCATTCATATTACCTTAATATTACGAACTTCATATGCTATCCTGTGGTCAGTGACTCTATCCTGGGTGAAATTATATGTCCGAATTCTCTCTGACTGGGCTCTTGTTCCCACCTGTGTCATAACAAAAAGCAATTCATATTTTAACTTTATAATTACTTTTATTACAACAGAAAAAATGCTTGTAAATGACTTTTCTATTTTAACAGCTTAACTCTTTTCTAAATTCATACATACAAAGTGACAAGGAATAAGAATGGGCCGAACTTATTAAGACTCCAGGTCTGTAAAGCTTAGTTATAAGAATTAATGTCTCTTTGGTACCTCAAACTCCAAATATTTAAAACCAAATTATCTTTCTATCTCAGTCAGTTCTTCCTGCTGGTTTCTATAAATGACCCTACAATAATGTTTGATCTAAGTAGGAAACCTGACATCCTACACTTGAACAAACATTTCATGGTAGCTTACTATCTGCCAGGCTGTGATATAGACCGTGAAAGGAACTTCAGCTCATCCCATTCTCTAACTGCCCAATTCCAGTGGTTTCAAGGGTCTTTTATTCTATCCTGCCCTTTCCATTTCTACTATCTATCATTCAAGGGCTCATTACTTTCATTACACTCCTGTAAAAACCTCCTGATTAATCTTCCATTTCTCTGCTTACATTGTGTTGTCCTGCTTAGCTTTCCTAAAGCCCAGCTTTCTGATAAATTTCCTTATTTGGCTCCTTCTTGTCTACTAGGCAGACACAACTCAACTCAGTATTCAAGGCACTTCACAATGTGGCCAACTTTCTCAACATTATTTCTGAAAATTATATGAACCTCTATAATGCCACTTATTATACCGTATCATAATTATGTGCACGTCTGTTAAGTCTGCTAAAACCTCATCTCAAGGGGTGCCCTTCCTTAACACTCTCCTAGCATCTCTGTCTTTCCTGGTCCCAATGTGAAATATGTTATCTTCCTCCTTCAGAACCCCATGCACTTGGAATCTTCTTCACCGCACACCAGTTTGCCTCTTGCTGTGGTTATTTGTATCCTTAGTCTGCTCATCTGCCCTCCCTCCCCCCACATACAATGCACACAACACCCTCTCTCACTCACTTTCACTTTTTATTTTATTTTTTTACCTTTTTTGAATTTTATTTTATTTATTTATTTATTTTTATACAGCATGTTCTTATTAGTTATCTATTTCACTTTTTATTTTAAATGTTATTTTATTATTTATTTTCATTGAAGCATAGTTGCTACAATAAGTTACAGGTATCTCGCTTTCACTTTTTAAGATAAAAGAAAAAGATTGCTATAACTTACTTTCTAAAGCAAACAATATGAAACTAAAGTCCTAAGTATGGCTGATCACCAGGGGAATGTTTTTAAATGAAAGATTCCAAAACCTAACCTAAGATATACTGAATCATGGATTATGTATTTTTTAAACAGTCCCCAGGCCATCCATTCTGCAACCAGCCAGGTTTGGAAACTACTATCCCAAGGCACCACGGTTATGCCTAGGATCCCACCCAGATCAATTATATCAGAATCTCTGGGGATGGGGCCTAGACATCTACAAAGCTCTCTAGGCGGTAAGTGGAACCAGGGTTGAGAACCTGGCATAATGCCTTCCATATAAAAGCTACTGTATATATTAGCTGAAGAAGAACTCCTAAGTGTCAGAAATATCTACTAAAAAATTTCACACAGATGGACAAGTTAATTGAGAGACACGGAGGTCATTTCTGGCCTTTCAAACCAGACCACTGAAGACAACACACATGCCCACAATTGGCGTAAGGCCGATCTTGAATACTTACTTTGAAAATTACTGTGTGAAACATCTGATGCCAATATGTCAAATGGCAAGTAAAACCCAACGTCTTTTATTAAATCAAATGTGGCAGAGCTGACAGTGTTTATGTTATCACTTAGCTGCCAAGAAGTAATGCTTTGTAAATGACCATTCGTATCTGCAAATGTGTATACTGATGCTGTGCCACAGGCTGGGATTACCACAGATAGAGGCTTAATAAATTATTTATCCTGTCACTTTTACTACTTGCAAGTTAGAATGTGGGTAAGGGAAACAAGAAGGGCAAAAGTGTGAAGGACTAGGACATCTAGGTGAAAAGAATAATTAATGTTTAGTTTTATACAATTAATTTTCCTAACAGGCCGCAAAAATCTTCCAAATTTACCGTAGTATAACTACTTGCAAATAACACAAAAGCACAGTGATTTCTGGGTTCCACTGTCTCTTCCAATTTCTCTCAAAGAAAAAGTTTACCTTTTTAGAGTTTAAAATCATACAACCCTTTGTTTACTTAAGACAACGACATTTATTCATTTTGCTTAAAACTTATCTATATATTTATATAAATAAAAATATAAATGTATATAGTACAAAATTCAAAAAGTACAAAAGGGTATATAGCAAAAAATTAATCTCTCTTCTACTCCTGGTTCCCAGACTGTATCAGAAGCAGTCAGTATTACCATTTTCCTGCAGTGCCATATATTTTTGATCCCACATAAAGTTATAGAATAATAGGGACTTCCCTGGTGGCGTAGTGGATAAGACTCCATGCTCCCAATGCAGGAGGCCTGGGTTTGATCCCTGGTCAGGGAACTAGATCCCACATGCATGCCGCAACTAAGGAGCCCACCTGCCGCAACTAAGGAGCCCAGGTGCTGCAACTAAGACCTGGTGCAACCAAATAAATAATTTTTTTTTAATGTAGAAAAGAAAATAGTTATACAATAATAAAAGTATAGGTTTTTAAATTAAGAATCTGAAAAATCTCTTAATTTCCAGAGAATTGTCTTTTACACTAATTTCCTTTAAAGACAATTATGATCTAAAACTGGAGGGAAACAAGTGGGAAACAATTTTTAGTTTACACATATCTCCTCTACTTATTTCCAAACTGGCATGTCCAACTTTAGCTATAACCAGTCAGTCTTAAATTATTGCTATTTACAAATGAGCATGTTTTCCTATGCTCCAAGATATTTCCATTCTATTAAGAATATTTACTCCATTTTCTGCATAAAATGATGGCTTTCTGTACAGAGGCATTAAGTTATTTCACTCAGTAAATCTTACCTGCAGTTTTCTCACACTCTGTTGTTGATACTTGTCTTTCTCAATAATCTGCTGGTAGAGTCTAGCTCTCAACACACGCAAAGCTATTTCTTTATTTTTTATCTGTGATCGTTCTTGTTGGCATTCTACTACAAGTCCTGAAAAATAACAGGGATCAGAGATAAACTGGAGCCTCCACAAATCAAATTAGAATAGAGATGAGGTGTCGATTATATCACAATAAAACTGATAAAAAAGATAGAACTGAGGAACATTTTAAAGGGGGAAAGGTTAATCAGGAAAAGGATGAAAAACATTTTAGATTTAGCACACTCCAGAAACTATTCCTGGGTCATAATGGTAATTGCTTAGATAGCTCTTTAGATTCTGATGTCTAAATGAGGTATTTCAGATGAGAAGGGTATATTGTACAGTACAGGGAAATACAGCCATTATTTTGTAATAACTTTAAAGGGAATATAATCTGTAAAGGTATTGAATCACTATGTTGTACACCTGAAACTAATATAATATTGTAAAAACTAACTATACTTCAAGTAAAAAAACCCAGAAAACAGGAAAAAGAAAAAAAGACTTTATATATAGAAACCAATAAGAAGAAACTACCCAAACTCTTTAAAAGGAAGAGTTTATAGTGAAAGTTTCTCAGTTGTCTTGGTTCTAAATCCAGCTAATCAACATATCTAACTGCACATGTTTTGGTTAGTCGACTTGTGGATTTGGGTGGGTTTGACTCACTGTGTAGCCCAGTTACCAGCCCAAATCTAGCCCCGAAATGGTGACTCTTGAGACTTCAGGCTGTGTTCTTAACTTTGCAGCTACCACTCTGAAGGTCTATATCCAATCCTGCTCCCAGGTACACTAGAGGTGAAAGGTACTTTCCTTTCTGCATCACAAAAACCAAAATCCTCTTAGCTTAGGCCCGTTGCACTGGTAAGGCAGTAACTATTTTGCTGGAGATTTTTAAAATTTCTATAAAATTCTACTCTTCAAACTATGTTTTCACCCTGTCTAAATAAGTTACAATCACACCTGCTAATAACTTTAAGCAGGCTTCCCCCTTATTGGTTTAATGTTATTTCTTGACTGCTTTATTACAGCCATGCATTTGGGCTGGGACACCAACTTGCTCACGTCTTCCAAGCACTTGCCTGGAGTTCTCTTAAATCAGGAATCCTTTCTGCAGCACCCAAAGGAATATGAAAGTTTCCATTTCAAGATAACCAGACAGTCATGAGATTTGTTCCAAATTCCTCTTATTAGCTGACCCATACTGACTTTGTCTATATACCTGCACTGTTCTCATCCAGTGGCTCAAGCCAGACCTTTTCTTACTCACCAGCTCAGTAATTCCTGAGGGAATCACTTCATTATCTATTTTAATACATTTTCTGTAGAGGAGTATTTAATCATTAAATACTCCCTCAGGAATAGAGGACTGGGGTGAGGGGTAGAGTATGTTGAAACAAGGTGCTGGAGTTGTTAAAAAAAAATTATAAAAGGGCTTTGAAAAAAAGGTTTGTGGGTAAGACTTAAGTCCTCTTTAGGTCCAAGAACCACATCTAAGTGGGTAAAAAATTGGCCCAAGGTAGTCTGGCAATATAAGCATCAGTCACTTTTATAAAGTTAATAATTTATGGCTGACCAGGGTGTAATGTTTTTTTTTCCTTTTTGAATAAGACACCATCTATGCTCTCAAGGAGCCTTTATTTTATTTTACTTTTTAAATTCACTTATTTTATTTATTTATTTTTATTTTTGGCTGCATCAGGTCCTAGTTGCGGCACGCAGGCTCTCTGGTTGAGGCACGTGGGAGTTCTATTTGTGGTGCGTGGGCTTAGTTACCCCCACAGCCTGTGGGATCTTAGTTCCCCAACCAGGGATTGAACCCGAGTCCCTTGCATTGGAAGGTGGATTCTTAACCACTGGACCACCAGGGATGTCCCCAGGGTGGTTTTATAATCCTCTAATGTTTTAAAGTATTTTAGTTCATATTTTTCAGAAATTTGGTCACCTTTTACTTTGTTTTTAATTTTTAATTCATCTTAAGCTAATTATTACGGTTTATAATACAGAATACAGGGTTTAGGTAAAACACACTAAGTATTCAACAACTTTTGGATTTCTTAAGTAAATTATGGTAAGCTACAAACATTATAACTTCACTTTTGGTGAGAAAGGATATATTTATATATGCATAGAAAAGAATCTGAAAGGATTTACACCTAAGATATATACCAACAATGGTTGCTGGGGATTGTTTTAGATGTTTTCTGTTATTTTGCTCATGTATATAATTCTAGGTTTTTACAGTTTCTTATGGAATGAAAGTCAATAAAGAACTTTAGGGGCTTCCCTGGTGGCGCAGTGGTTGAGAATCCGCCTGCCAATGCAGGGGACATGGGTTAAAGTCCTGGCCCGGGAAGATCCCACATGCCATGGAGCAACTAAGCCCGTGTGCCACAACTACTGAGCCTGCTCTCTAGAGCCTGTGAGACACAACTACTGAAGCCCGCATGCCTAGAGCCCATGCTCTGCAACAAGAGAAGCCACCGTAATGAGAAGCCCACGTAGAGCCTGTAGACACAACTACTGAAGCCCGCATGCCTAGAGCCCATGCTCTGCAACAAGAGAAGCCACCGTAATGAGAAGCCCACGCACCACAAAAAAGAGTAGCCCCAGCTCGCCACAACTAAAGAAAGCCTGTGCGCAGCAACAAAGACCCAACACAGCCGAAAATAAATAAATAAATAAATAAATCTATAAAAAAAGAACTTTAGAACACACTTACTCACCGTCCACAAAAATAAACTCAAAATGGCTTAAAGACTTAAATGTAAGACATGACAGCATAAAACTCCTAGAAGAGATCATAGGCAAAACATTCTGACATAAATCCTACCAATGTTTTCTTAGGTCAGTCTCCCAAGGCAACAGAAATAAAAGCAAAAATAAACAAATGGGACCTAATCAAACTTACAAGCATCTATACAGCAAAGAAAACCATAAACAAGACAAAAAGACAACCCTCAGAATGGGAGAAAATATTTGTAAATGATGAGACAGACAAGGGCTTAATTTCCAAAATATACAAACAGTTCGTGCAACTCAGTAACAAAAAAACAAAAAACCCAGTCGAAAAATGGGCAGAAGATCTAAACAGACATTTCTCTAAAGAAGACATACAGATAGATGGCCAATAGGCAAACGAAAAGATGCCCATCATTGCTAACTATTAGAGAAATGAAAATCAAAACTACAAAAACTACCTCACACTGGTCAGAATGGCCATCATTAAAAAGTGTCTACAAATAATAAATGTCAGAGAATGTGTGGAAAAAAGGGAATCCTCCTACATTGTTGGTGGGAATGTAAGTTGGTATAGCAATTATGGAAAACAGTATGGAGGTTCCTCAGAAAAGTAAAAACAGAGTTGTCATATGACCCAGCAATCCCATTCCTGGGCATATACCCAGACAAAACTATAATTCGAAAAGATCCGTGCAACCCTATGTTTATTTGCACTATTTACAATAGCCAAGACATGGAAACAACCTAAATGTCCATCAACAGATAAATGGATAAAGAAGATGTGGTGCATGTATACAATGGAATATTACTCAGCCATAAAAAAGAGTGAATAATGCCATTTGCAGCAACATGGATGGACCTAGAAATTATCATACTAAGTGAAGTCAGAAAGAGAAAGACAAATGCCATATGATATCACTTATATGGGGAAGCTAAAATACGACACAGGGCTTCCCTGGTGGCGCAGTGGTTAAGAATCCACCTGCCAATGCAGGGGACACAGGTTCGAGCCCTGGTCTGGGAAGATCCCACATGCCACAGAGCAACTAAGCCCGTGCACCACAACTACTGAGCCTGCACTCTAGAGCCTGCGTGCCACAACTACTGAAGCCCGCATGCCTAGAGCCCGTGCCCGCAACAACAGAAGCCACTGCAATGAGAAGCTCACGCACTGCAACGAAGAGTAGCCCCCGCTCGCCGCAACTAGAGAAAGCCCACACACAGCAACCAAGACCCAATGCAGCCAAAAATAAATAAATAAGATAAATAGATTTATATATAAAAAAAGAAAGCCCAGGTGATTTACAAAAAAAAAAAATGACACAAATGAACATATCTACAAAATAGAAACAGACTGACAGACATAGAGAACAGACCTGTGGTTGCCAAGTGGGTGGTGGCGTGGGAGGAGGGAAGGATGGCGAGTGTGGGATTCGCAGATGCAAACTAGTATATACAGGATGGGTAAACAACAAGGTCTTACTATATAGTACAGGGAACTATATTCAATATCCTGTGATAAGCCATAATGGAAAAGAATACGAAAAAAGAACGCATATATATATAAATGAGTCACTTTGCTGTACAGCAGAAATTAACACATTGTAAATCAATGATATTTCAATAACATTTTTTTATAAATTGCACTGAAACAACAAGAACAGGAACACAAACTCCATCTGAAATAAAATGAGATGATGAGTGTAGTCTCCAAACACAATATATAAAGACAAAGTGGATGGATTGCTGTACACCTAAAACATTGTTAATCAGCTATACTTCGATTTAAAATTATTTAATTAATTAATTAATTAAAGAAAAAAAAAGAAAAAGAGGCTGGAAGAATGGCAAATGACTCAGCAGAGAGGAGGAAGGTGAGGTCGAACCCCCTGTCGAGGGAGATGCTGACCAGAACCAAGCCCATCTGCCTGCTGAGGGCCAGACAGGCTCTGGCATTGAGGCACTAACGAGGCACCCCAGAAATCAGAGTTGACAGTTTGGGGACTAGATAGAGAAAGTCTATATAACAACTAGATCTTCAAGTCCCCTCCCTCAATCTGCAGGAAGCAGGAGGTACAGTCTTTAGAGAATTAAATAAGGAAAGTTCCAGACTTGAGTCTAAATAGGTGCAAAGGAAGGCAAGTGTGAGGCATACAACTGAATAAAAAAGGATTAAGTAAAAGTGTGCTTACTGAATGGTGAGACCTTGACCTTACTCTCAGGTGTCCTGGAGGAGGATCCTTCTTAGGAGAAAAACTACCCAAGAGAAAAGATCTACAAATGCTGACATTTGAAGAGCTCTAATAAAAAAGCTGATTAATCACCTGACTGCCCTTCAGTTGAAACTTATTAGTGGATAACTGGCACCCATGCACTCAGCTTTTAGAACCTCACTCTTAAATAGACACAGCCAAGGAGGTTCCTTTTCCAAACAGAAGGGAATATGAACACCTTGGGGACCTCGGACCAATGACCCCAGTGTCACCTTTAAAGGGTTTGTGCAAGGAACCAGACACAACATAAGACTCTTTCTAAATGCCAAATAGTTTTATAAGATGTGAAAAAAAGTTAAAAGTACAAAAGCAAAAGGACTAGCTTACCTGTGGGAACATGGACAAGTCTGACAGCGCTATCAGTTGTATTAACATGCTGCCCTCCTGCTCCTTTGGCTCGAAATGTGTCTATTCGTAAATCCTTGGGGTCCACTTTCACATCTACCTAGAACAAAAAGTATAGCATGAGTAAATTCCACATTCAACAAATACTTTAATACTAAATTGATCCCAGATCTTTCAAATAAACTGTACTATTTTGTGTTAAGTCATAGCCATTTGACTAAGAAGTGAAATAACTTAAACCAAAGAAAGAACCATAAACTCCCTATTCCAACAGATGCTATTTTTAAAAAAAATATTTATTTATTTGGCTGCATCGGGTCTTGGTTGAGGCTTTCAGGCTCTCTAGTTGTGGCACATGGGCTCCAGAGCGTGCAGGCTCAGTAGCTGCGGCACGTGGGCTTAGTTGTCCCACAGCATGTGGGATCTCAGCTCCCCAACCAAGGATTGAACCTGTGTCCCCTGCATTGGAAGGCAGATTTTGAACCACTGGACCACCAAGGAAGTCCCCAACGGATGCTATTTTTAACACTGACTTATGATGCTATGAGATCACTGAGTTATGTAACCTTTCAGAAGTTTCATCATCTATCATCCCACAAAGCTACATTAGATACAAAATATATTTTAAAAATATATATACATACATATAAAGTTGATCCTCATTATTCCCTGATTCTGTATTTGCAAATATACCTACTCACTAGAATTTATTTGTTCCCGCAAGTCAATTATTGCAGCACTTTCACAGTCATTTGCAGACATATGCAGGGCAGCAAAAAATTCAAATTGCTCTACACATGCATGTTCTCAGCTGAGGTCCAACAAGGTGACTCTCTGCTTTCTTGTTTCAGCTCCTACAGAGATGACAGAGGATGAGGACAGGAGGGGCAGGGCAGGGCAGTGCAAGAAGCTCTGGCTCTGGGGCCAGGTGGAGAGGGTTTGAATTTCAACTCTGGCACCTGTGAATGATGTGCCTCAAGACAAGTCACTTACCACTTCTGAACATCATTTTCTCTCTTGTAAAATAAAGAAAATAGAATCTACCAGGATATGTTGTTTCTAGGATTTAGGATTATAATCTATGTGAGATATGTATATATATTTTCCCTAGAAAAAATAGTTCAGTATTCACTAAATCAGTATTCACTGTGACTTTGTAGAACATAACTACTGTGAATGAGAATCCACTGTGTGTGTATGTGTGTGCTTGTTAATGGACTGAACGGAGGCACCCCAAAAGATATGTTCTATTCTAACCACCGGAACCTTATTTGGGAAAAGGGTCTTTGCAGACACAATTGAGTTAAGATGAGATCATACTGGATTATTCAGATAGGCCCTAAATCCAATGACAAGTGTCATAAAAGACACCTAGAGGGCTTCCCTGGTGGCGCAGTGGTTGGGAGTCCGCCTGCCGATGCAGGGGACACGGGTTCGTGTAAATAGAGAGAAAAATACCTTTTTAAAATAAGAGAAAAAGTAATGAAACATGGCAAGTTAAGAAACTACTCTTGAAAGAACCACTGCCACCTATAAAAGAAAAAGTAAATAGTTTTGTTATTGAAATAATTATGACCTTTTAAATTCTCATTATCAGAAAACTTATTGATCTGAAAGATTTACATATATATATTACATATATATATATTTAATAATTTACATTGCTTAAATTGTGACTTTCAGTCATAATATTAAAAAAAAAAAAAAAAAAAAAAAGACACCTAGAGAAGAGAGAGGAGGAGACCATGTGAATTTGGAGCCAGAGATTGGAGTTGTACAGCTACGAGCCAAGGAACACATGGAGATACCAGAAGCTGGAAAAGGCAAGGGAGGATTCTCCCCCAGAACCTGTGGAGGGAGCATGGCCCTGCCAATACCTTGATTTTGGACTTCTGACCTATAGAACTGAGAATACATTTCTGTGATTTTAGGTTACTAAGCTTGTGGTAATTTGCTATGACAGCCTTAGGAAATTTTCTGATATTTATACACACACACACGAATGCACAGAAATACATATCTATATATGAATATACAGATATATATACAAATATATACAAAATATGCTGTTTTTGAGGGGACACCTAACATTTTCTTCCACATTTATCATTTATTTCAATAAATGACAGACAGCAAGTATGACCATTCTCTTTGAAAAGTACACTAATAACAGGGTTGAGGTTAGAATCTAATATATACCTTAGTTGGTTGTTCTCTTGTTTCCTCTAAAATGAGTACTATATGGTGAAGAAAAAGATTACAAAGTGCAAAGATTATACAGGCTTTGTTAAAATATGCCAGTGTTGGCTAGCTTAAAATTTCAATAAACACTAAAGAGATGAAGAATAATTTCCCATTTCTTGTGGTTACAGTATATTAAGTAGTTATACAGCAAATATGTCAATGTTATATGTCATGTTCTCCCAAATGTTATAGAAACTACCTAATAACTTCTGGGGAATTCTGAACATAGAAACAGTGACTTATTAATATACAAAGAATTTAAAATATCAATTAAGAGAATAAGGCCCTGTGTAGGAGAATGAAGCTTCACTAAATGAGTTTAATTTTCAAGAATATGAAGACAACAAGGGGATAGGTGAGAATGGGGTGGAAGGAATAAGGATGGAAGCAAGACAACTCTATGGTTTTGATTTCTGAACCACATAAATGCTGATTACACCAAAAATAAAAGAGAAAAGAGGAAAGAAAAATTAAATCTTAAAAATTAAATACAACCAGAAACAAATGTATCAAAATACCTACCATAATAATAACATAACCACACAGAAAAACATTATTTCAGATGGTCTTTGAACATATTACTCTGACTGCTTTCTTGGTGGGTTACATTCTAAGGACAGAAATCTTAAACATTACTAAGTAGTTTACTGAAAAATTCTGAAACTATTTTATATATAGTATAATAAAGCAAAAAGTAAACATATTAAAAGTGATTAAGAAAGAAGATTTTAACTCCAAGTGGAAAGATACAAAACAAAATACAAAAAGGTGCAGGAAAGATACTCCCTGTAAATTTGAATTGGAAGTAATAATAATAGGAACCTTTGATTTAAAATCATATGTATTTCCTAATTATATCCACTGAAGAGTCTTGATGTAATAAGCACACTTTAGTAATAATGAGCAGACCTAGTACCCATACGCTGATTTCTGGATACACTCCCCACTAAAAAGAACCAGGTCTGACTCCAAGTCTGAGGCAGGAGAGTACAAGGTAGCCTGGGATGTCTATTATAGCAGAAAGCAAGTATGCACTCAAAGACTGATTGGATCATTTCAAAAGGGGCTACCCTAAAAAGGCTACTATGGGCCAAAATGGGACAATTTGAACATTAAAAACAACAGCCACTGCCCAGCCTCAGCAATCACACAAGAAAAAGTAATAAAAGGAATCCAATTGAAAAGGAAGAAGTAAAACTGTCACTGTTTGCAGATGACATGATAATATACATAGAAAATCCTAAAGACACCACCAAAAAACTTCTAGGGCTCATCAATGAATCTGGTAAAGTTGTAGGATACAAAACTAATATACATAAATATGTTGCATTTCTATACACTAACAACAAACTATCAGAAAGAGAAATTAAGACAACAACCCCATTTACAATAGCATCAAAAAGAATAGAATACCTAGGAATAAACCTACCTAAGGAGGTAAAAGACCTGTAACTCAGAAAACAAGACACTGATGAAAGAACCTGAAGATTATACAGATGGAAAAACATACTGTGTTCATAGATTGGAAGAATTTTATGTTAAAATGACCATACTACCCAAGGCAACCTACAGACTCAATGAAATCCCTATCAAAATACCAATGGCATTTTTCACAGAACTAGAACAAATAATTTTAAAATTTGTATGGAAACTTAAGAAACCCCAAATAGCCAAAACAATCTTGAGAAAGAAGAACAGAGCTGGAGCTATCACACTCCCTAACCTCAGATTGCATGACAAAGCTACAGTAATCAAAACAGTATGGTACTGGCACAAAAACAGATACAAAGATCAATGAAACAGAATAATGAGCCCAGAAGTAAACCCAAACACTTATGGTCAATTAATGTGCAACAAAGGAGGCAAGAATATACAATGGGGAAAGACACCCTATTCAATAAGTGGTCCTGGGAAAACTGGACAGCTACATGTAAAGGAGTGAAATTAGAACATTTTCTCATTCCATATACAAAAATAAACTCAAAATGAATTTAAGACCTAAATGTAAGACCATAAAACTCCTAGAGGAAAATATAGGCACTCGCGAGAGCTGCGGTCCTGGAGCGGGATGGCCGCGGAGCCGGGCAGAGCTGGCCTTTGGCTCCTGCTTCCCGCTCTCTGGCCCGAAACATGGCCCGGGGTCCTGGCCCGCTAACCCGGCCTCGCCCCGACACAGTCGACATGCCCAAGAGAGGAAAGCGACTCAAGTTCCGGGCTCAAGACGCCTGCTCTGGGCGAGGTGGGCGAGGGCGGGGGCGTTGAAAGGCTTGGGGCTGGAAGCAGGGAGGGGGCTGGACAGCACCGAGGCGAGTGCTCGCCTGGCTGCGACGGGAGGGCGGCTGGACTGGGGACTTGGAGTGAGCAGGAAATCTTGGTGGGGAGGAAGCTGAGGAGAGAAGGCCTCCTCCTTTGAGGTTTGGTGCTGTGTTTCAGTGACTGTGGCGGATTATGCCAACTCGGATCCGGCCGTTGTGAGGTCTGGAAGGGTCAAGAAAGCCGTCGCCAATGCTGTTCAGCAGAGAAGATCTGGATGGGGCTGGAGGAGAAGAGTATCCCATGGATATTTGGCTCTTACTGACCTCCTATATCCGTCCTGAGGACATTGTGAATTTTTCCCTGATTTGTAAGAATGCCTGGACTGTCACTTGCACTGCTGCCTTTTGGACCAGGTTGTACCGAAGGCACTACACGCTGGATGCCTCTCTGCCTTTGCACCTGCGACCAGAGTCAATGGAGAAGCTGTGCTGTCTCCAGGCATGTGTGATCCGATCTCTGTACCATATGTATGAGCCATTTGCTGCTCGAATCTCCAAGAATCCAGCCATTCCAGAAAGCACTCCTAGCACATTAAAGAATTCCAAATGCTTACTTTTCTGGTGCAGAAAGATTGTTGGGAACAGACAGGAGCCAATGTGGGAATTCAACTTCAAGTTCAAAAAGCAGTCCCCTAGATTAAAGAGCAAGTGTATGGGAGGATTGCAGCCTCCCATTCAGTATGAAGATGTTCATACCAACCCAGACCAGGACTGCTGCCTACTGCAGGTCACCACCCTCAATTTCATCTTTATTCCAATTGTCATGGGAATGATATTTACTCTGTTTACTATCAATGTGAGCATGGACATGCAGCATCATCGAGGGAGACTGGTGTTCCAAGATTCTCCTGTCCATGGAGGTCGGAAACTGCGCAGTGAACAGGGTGTGCAAGTCATCCTGGACCCAGTGCACAGCATTCGCCTTTTTGACGGGTGACATCCTCAGTATCCATTCTCCCTGAGAGCATAGATACTGCTTCCCGTCACTGAGGGCAGCCCTGAGCTAGGCCAGTCCATTTGTAATCAGATTCCAGTTTGGAAGGGGCAGCTGATTGTATATCTGGTCAGTAATGCACATGCTCTTCAGGTTTCTGGGGCTCCTTCTAGGGGAAGGAGAAGGATTGAATCAGGAGTAAAAACATTATGATTTATAAACATATTTTAATGTAAAATTTTGCATTTGAAAGGTGAAACCTGGCCCTATTTTCTGTGTTAAACCCCATTTGGTGCTACTGAGTTTGTTCTTTATTCTTTTATCCCAGCCAGAGTGGATGATCTCGCTTTAGGGGAAAATTAAACTCTTAAATCTCCAAACAAGGAAATTTCAGCATTCCCTTATGGATCAGAGTAACCTTAGAGGCTTAAAATTGTTGCTACTGTTGCTTGCAATTTAGCTGCCCCTCAAATTCAAGTGACTATTTCCTCTTCTCCCTTTACCCCTCTCTAGAAATAAAGCAGGTGACAGGGTTTTCATAAAAAAAAAAAAAAAAAAAGAAGAAGAAAAAGAAAGAAAATATAGGCAGAACACTCTTTGACATAAATTGTAGCAATATTTTTTGGATATGTCTCCTAAAAGAAACAAAAACAAAAATAGACAAATGGGAACTAATCAAACTTAAATGCTTTTGCACAGCATAGGAAAAAATAGGTAAACAAAAAGACAACCTACTGAATGGGAGAAAATACTTGCTAATAATATGATGATAAGGGGTTAATATCTAAAATATATAAACAGCTCATATAACTCAACATAAAAAAAGAACCAAGCAACCCAGTCAAAAAATAGGCAGAAGACATGAACAGACATTTTTCCAAAGAAGATATTCAGATGGCCAACAAGCACAGGACAAGAAGCTCAACATCACTAATCATCAGAGACATTCATATCAAAACCACAGTGAGATATCACCTCACACCTGTCAGAATGGGTATCATCAGAAAGACCACAAACGACAAGTATCAGTGGGGATGTGAAGAAATGGGAACCCTTGTACACTTTAGGAATGTAAATTGGCAGCCACTGTGGAAAACAGTATGGAGGCTCCTCAAAAGACTAAAAACAGAACTACCATACAATCCAGCAATTCCACTCTTGGGGTGTATATCCAAAAAAACACGAAAACATTAATTCGAAAAGATATATGCACCACGGTGTTCATAGCAGCATTATTTACAATTGCCAAGGTATGGAAACAAGCTAAGTGTCCATCAACAGATGAGTGGATAAAGAAGATGTGGTATATATATGCAATGGCATACTACTCAGCCATAAAAAATAATGAAATTTTGCCATTTGCAATAACATGGATGTATGTGGAGGGTACTGTGCTTAGTGAAATTAGTCAGACAAAGACAAATACTGTATGTTATCACTTATATGTGGAATCTAAAAAATAAAACAAACTAGTGAATATAGCAAAAGAGAAATAGACCCATAGATATACAGAACAAACCAGTGGTTACCAGTGGGGAGAGGGAAGGGGAGAGGGGAAGAATAGAGGTAGGAGAGTAAGATGTACAGTAAATGTACATTTATAAAATAAATGAGCCACAAGGATATATTGTACAGCACAAAGGAATATAGCCAATATCTTACAAAAACTATAAAACTTAAAAATATTGTGAATCACTATGTTGTACACCTGAAACTAATACAGTATTATAAATCGACTATACCTCAATTTAATAAGAAAGAAAAACAAAAGTGATTATAACTCATTGAATTTTAAAAATCCATAGGTCTATAATGAGGTCAATATATGAAATTCAATATATGAGTTTATAATGAGGTAAAATAAAAGAGAAAGAGAGGAGGAGCTTCAAGATGGCAGAAGAGTAAGACGCGGAGATCACCTTCCTCTCGACAAATACATCAGAAATACATCTACACGTGGAACAGCTCCTACAGAACACCTACTGAACACTGGCAGATGACCTCAGACCTCCCAAAAGGCAAGAAACTTCCCATGTACCTGGGTAGCGTAAAAGAAAAAAGAAAAAACAGACAGCGAATAGGGACGGGACCTGCACCAGTGGGAGGGAGCTGTGAAGGAGGAAAGGTTTCCACACACTGGGAGCCCCTTCGCGGGCGGAGACTGTGGGAGGCGGAGGGGGAGCTTCGGAGCCGCGGAGGAGAGCACAGCAACAGGGGTGCGGAGGGCAAAGCGGAGAGATTCCCGCACAGAGGATCGGTGCCGACCGGCGCTCACCAGCCCGAGAGGCTCGTGTGCTCACCCGCCGGGACGGGTGGGGGCTGGGAGCTGAGGCTCGGGCTTCAGAGGTAGGATCCCCCAGAGAGGACTGGGGTTGGCTGCGTGAAGAGAGCCTGAAGGGGGCTAGTGCACAACAGCTAGCTGGGAGGGAGTCCGGGAAAAAGTCTGGAGCTGCCAAAGAGGCAAGAGACTTTTTCTTCCCTCTTTGTTTCCTGGTGCGTGAGGAGAGGGGATTAAGAGCGCCGCTTAAAAGAGCTCCTGAGACGGGTGCGAGCCGCGGCTATCAACGCGGACCCCAGAGACAGGCATGGGACGCTAAGGCTGCTGCTGCCGCCACCAAGAAGCCTGTGTGCAAGCACAGGTCACTGTCCATATCTCCCCTCCTGGGAGCCTGTGCAGCCCGCCACTGCCAGGGTGCCGGGATCCAGGGACACCTTCCCCGGGAGAACACATGGCACGCCTCAGGCTGGTGCAACGTCATGCTGGCCTCTGCCGCCGCAGGCTCGCCCCACATCCAAACCCCTCCCTCCCCCACCCCGCCCCTCGCCTGAGTGAGCCAGAGACCCCGAATCAGCTTTTCCTTTAAACCCATCCTGTCTGGGCAGGGAACAGACGCCCTCAGGCGACCTACAGGCAGAGGCAGGTCCAAATCCAAAGCTGAATCCCGGGAGCTGTGCGAACAAAGAAGAGAAAGGAAAATCTCTCCCAGCAGCGGATTAAATCTCCATAATCAACTTCATGTACCCTGCATCTGTGGAATACCTGAATAGACAACAAATAATACCAAAATGAGGAGGTGGACTTTGGGAGCAACAATATATATATATATTTTCCCCTTTTTCTCTTTTTGTAAGTGTGTATGTGTATGCTTCTGTGTGTGATTTTGTCTGTATAGCTTTGCTTTTACCGTTTGTCCTAGGGTTCTGTCTGTCCGTTTTTATTTTTTTTATTAAAAATTTTTTTTCTTAAAAATTATTTTTTATTTTAATAATTTTATTTTATTTTACTTTATTTTATCTTCTTTCTTTCTTTTTTTTCTCCCTTTTATTCTGAGCCCTGTGGAGGACAGGCTCTTGGTGCCCCAGGCAGGCGTCAGGGCTGTGCCACTGAGGTGGGAGAGCCAAGTTCAGGACACTGGTGCACAAGAGACCTCCCAGCTCCACGTAATATCAAATGGCAAAATTCTACCAGATATCTCCATCTCAATGCCAAGACCCAGCTCCACTCAACGACCAGCAAGTTACACTGCAAGACACCCTATGACAAACAACTAGCAAGACAGGAACACAACCCCACCCATTAGCAGAGAAGCTGCCTAAAATCATAATAAAGCCACAGACACCCCAAAACACACCATCAGACATGGACCTGCCCACCAGAAAGACAAGATCCAGCCTCATCCACCAGAACACAGGCACTAGTCCCCTTCACCAGGAAGCCTACACAACCCACTGAACCAAACTTAGCCACTGGGTACAGATACCAAAAAAAAAAGGGAACTACGAACCTGCAGCCTGCAGAAAGGAGACCCCAAACACAGTACGTTTAACAAAATAAGAGGACAGAGAAACACACAGCAGATGAAGAAGCAAGGCAAAAACCCACCAGACCTAACAGGTGAAGAGGAAATAGGCAGTCTACCTGAAAAATGAATTCAGAATAATGATAGTAAAGATGATCCAAAATCGTGGAAATAGAATGGAGAAAATACAAGAAACGTTTAACAATGACCTAGAAGAACTAAAGAGCAAACAGAGATGAACAACACAATAAATGAAATTTAAAATTCTCTAGAAGGGATCAATAGCAGAATAACAGAGGCAGAAGAACGGATAAGTGACCTGGAAGATAAAATAGTGGAAATAACTACTGCAGAGCAGAATAAAGAAAAAAGAATGAAAAGAACTGAGGACAGTCTCAGAGACCAACATTAAACACACCAACATTCGAAATATAGGGGTCCCAGAAGAAGAAGAGAAAAAGAAAGGGACTGAGAAAATATTTGAAGATTATAGTTGAAAAATTCCCTAATATGGGAAAGGAAATAGGTACATCCAGGAAATACAGAGAGTCCTGTACAGGATAAATCCAAGGAGAAACATGCCAAGACACATATTAATCAAACTATCAAAAATTAAATACAAAGAACAAATATTAAAAGCAGCAAGGGAGAAACAAGTAACACATAAGGGAATCCCCATAAGGTTAACAGCTGATCTTTCAGCAGAAACTCTGCAAGCCAGAAGGGAGTGGCAGGACATATTTAAAGTGATGAAAGAGAAAAACCTACAACCAAGATTACTCTACCCAGCAAGGATGTCATTTAGATTTGACAGAGAAATCAAAAGCTTTACAGACAAGCAAAGGCTAAGAGAATTCAGCACCACCAAACCAGCTTTACAACAAATGCTAAAGGAACTTCTCTAGGCAAAAAACACAAGAGAAGGAAAAGACCTACAATAATCGTTTAACAAAATAAGAGGACAGAGAAACACACAGCAGATGAAGAAGCAAGGCAAAAACCCACCAGACCTAACAGGTGAAGAGGAAATAGGCAGTCTACCTGAAAAATGAATTCAGAATAATGATAGTAAAGATGATCCAAAATCGTGGAAATAGAATGGAGAAAATACAAGAAACGTTTAACAATGACCTAGAAGAACTAAAGAGCAAACAGAGATGAACAACACAATAAATGAAATTTAAAATTCTCTAGAAGGGATCAATAGCAGAATAACAGAGGCAGAAGAACGGATAA